TTTGGGCTTGGAACACTGAAAACAGAGATTTGGCCATTCGATGTTGTTTTGTGACACAAAAGTCAGGCTTTTCTCCTTTTTAAGCCAAACGTGGAGTTTCTGGCACTGGATGCGATTTAATGCAATTTTTTTTGTTATAAATGTTCGTAGCTAGATCTTTTCCCAGACCCAACATACTTTATGACCCATGCGTAGGAAGTGTAGAATAACCTACTTGACGTCATTTTCTTATCTCGTCACAGCGGGAGGTTATAGGACGTGTTTTTTAGCGACTGGCTATCTATAGTATTAAAAAAATGCGAATAGAAATTGTTTCCTCTGCCTATTTTTTACTACTTTCTGTAAATGCACGCCAATGTCGGTCCCTGTATCGTTCCCTGGAAGGCTTCTTATACATGGACGGCAGGCAATATTAGAAAGTCTAAAACCCCCGCACTTTTGAGTAAGTCCATCGCTTTAATTTCATAAGCTCGGGACATTGTTTCAATTAGAGAAGACGCTAAGGCTGTCGCGTAACCTTTTGGATAATTAAGCTTTCAGTGAGATGGCAAAAATTTGATTTCGCTCAAAGGGTTTCAGACTACGCTTCTTAACCTTTTCTCGCAGTCGTAAATGATTTGATGCAAAATACCGGGCAGAACGCATTGCGGTCAAATTACATACCATCTTCAGTGTTCTGCAAGGAACATTGTATATCGACCGAAGACCATTACAATAACTCTTTGCTTTAATTCAAAAGTAGCTTTGTCTAAAAATGGAAGTTTACAGGAAATATTTTTTTGGCCACATGCGTAACCCTTTTGTGGTCATTTCTTATTCTGAAATCCTTTAATTTTTTACAGGGTGTCCCATTTTAATCTCCCCACCTGAATATTTCGAAAACTACACATTCTAGAAGAACAATATATACTAAGTGACATATAAATCCGAACACCCAGTTTAAATGGTTTTATTTTAATAAAAGTTGGTGAATGTATTTATCTTACTGTAAATAACAGGTGAAAAAATTTTCAGCCTTATCAGTTGGACATTACGGTTTTAATATTGTTTTTTTTTAATTCACTAACGCTCTAAAAATGAATATTTCAGCCGCAGTAAAGAATCAACGTTGGTGGATTTTGGTTCTTGACATCCTTTACGATCGGTTACGATGCCTAGAGTACGGAGATCTGTACGATTTCGTCAACTTAGTGAGTTTGATAGGGGCCGTATAGTGGGACTTCGGTGAGCTGGACATTCTTTTCGGGCCATTGCAGTTACAGTGCAAAGAAGTGTAGACACTGTGGTTAGGTGTTGTCAGGCATGGCTTCGAGCAAGGGGCACTGGACGCCGCCATAGAACAACAGACCGTGAAGATCGCCGCCTAAGATTATTGGCCTTAAGGGACCGTTTCTCCACTACCAGGTCCATTGCAAATGAATGGTTTGCGGAACACGGAAGACCTATTGGCATGCGAAGTGTTTACCGACGAATGAGAAGTTTTGGCTTGTTTTCATACCGGCCACACTGGGTCCTCCCTTTAACTCGAGAACACCGACGTAATCGCCTTGAGTGGTGCAGACAACGGTCACTCTGGGATCAGGAATGGAACAGTATTGTCTTTAGTGACGAGTCTCGATTTTGTTTAGGCATGCACGATGGTCGTGCCAGAGTTAGAAGGCGACGTGGTGAAAGGAGGAATCCACAGTTTTTTGTTGAAAGACATGTTCATCACACTGTTGGAGTTATGGTTTGGGGTGTTATAGCTTACGGTTCCAAGTCACCATTAATCTTCATCAGAGGTAACATGAACGCGCAGCGTTAAATCCACGAAGTTCTAGAACCCCATCTTTTACCCTATCTTGACACCCTGGCAGATCCAACTTTCCAACAAGATAATGCCCGACCACATGTTGCAAGAGTCACAATAGACTTCTTTCAACATAATGATGTCACATTGTTACCATGGCCATCAAGATCCCCCGACTTATCCCCAATTGAGCACGTGTGGGATATGATGGGTGGGAGATTGCTCAATTTGCAACGTCCTCCTCAGACTCTAGAAGCACGTCGAGAGGAGTTGGTGGTTGCCTGGAATGAGATACCACAGGAGGACATTGACCACCTGCTCAGAAGCATGCCTAGGCGCGTTGGAGAATGCGTAGCACATCAGGATGCATCCACACATTATTAAAGGTCAAAGGGCTTTAAAGCAGTGCAATCATTTTGAAATTTTTATCATTTACTATTATGCTTCATTAAGTACTTATACAAAATTTTATTAAAATAAAACCATTTAAACTGGGTGTTCGGATATATATGTCACTTAGTATATAAAAGTTGTAGGGCTTCGAGGAGGCAAAATGACCTTGAGCATGAACTTGGCCGTAACCTTCAAGGTTATGTCAAGGACAAGAGAATATATTCAAATGGCACTCTCCCTTTTTTACAGCCAAATTGGAAACAGGGGGAAACCTTACGTCCGAATATGACCTTGAATATAACCATCACATTCAAGGCCATGTAGCAAAATTTTTCTCGTTTGATTATCACATTTCTTATTCTCTGTAATGTTAGCATAGGAACCAAGGTGTTGTCTTACAAATAACGTTCCAGATTAGCATGGCCTTGGGAGGTTTCCCTCGGAAATGTTGACTTGACCTTGAAGGTCATGGACATGGTCAGTTTTGGGTGACCTCCTCAAACCTCACAACTCAGTGCACTCTAGGAAAAAACATAAGAGTAAAATTAAAAAAATTTGCGTTTAAAAAAAACAGTGGCGTACTATTTTTATTTGGAAAAATAATGCCACTAATCCCCTGTATCTGCGCCACTGGTGCACGTTGATTTTAAATAAAGACTTTTGAATGTGGAAGATACTTAGGTAAATCCGGATACCAAATTTTAGTTTATTCCAGTTGACGGATTGGAAGATATAATAAAATGTTTTTTATTCGTAAACTTCAACACCCCGTATCTTTTTAATGAAGCTCTCGAGAAAAAAATGTTACATAGAAGGCCCCCCTTAAAATGCGGTCCTGTGTATAATGTTTCATTTTTGGTCACGACTTGTGAATCACCCTGTATAGTTTTCACTAATACTAGAAAACGTACCTACATGGATAGTGAAAGTTGATGTTTTTTGCATTCGAACCAGCTGGCATTGTTTTTCGTTAATGAATTGAATTGCAGAAATCTCCCATTTTGTTATATCACAGTTGGTTGAAGCAATGTAACAAAAACCTTTCCATTTTCCTCGTCGTTCATGTTTTCATTCATGTTCCAGATTTGTATTCTAAGTTCAGCATCTAAAAGTTCTGAATGTGCTTTGCATCTAGTTAAATATGGAGTTGGATTCAGTTGTCATCTAGATAAAATTACCGAACCTCAAAACTATTCCCTTTAGCGGCGAAACTCACGTTGCTTCTATACACAAAATGAGTTTACGAGGATATTAGACAAATGCGGCTTCTGAATGGTTAGAAAACTGTGTTAAACAATAAGAATTTCAGGACATTATAATATATCACTCTCCTTGCCAATCGGCTAGAGGAAGTTTTGTAACCGCGAAAACACGTTTTGAAAATGAAATATTATGATATTTACGTCGATCTGTCTGTCTGTTGGTTTGTCTGCTAATCCTTGAGTCCCCTATGCCTACAGTAGGCTCATTCGAATTTTGATGAAATTTTGAGACAAGGCTACTACTATGTCAATGATAAAAGAGCGTTGAAAAGCGGAAAAAATGTCGTTCAAAAGTTTTCGACGTTTTCCAAGTCGATTGAGGGCTAATTCTGAGCTTCTATCAAATATTCCATATTCAACACATAAATTTGCCAGTACATTTGTCCTTAATAACAACGAAAATAGAAGAAACTTATAATGAGCTGTCCGCTGACGAAGTTTATGCATCGTAACTGGGATTACAACGTCGTCAGATGGCCGGTAGGGCATAAGAGAAACTTCTAGACTACGGGGGCAGCGAAATAATTATTGTATGACCCTGTTCCACAGGCCTGACCCATTTGATTCCTTCGTTCCACATGGTTGTGGATAACTTTTCTTGTGCCGAACCTTTTATGAATTGATGTTATCGTTGCGTGAGGGGTGCAGAGTCCACCTACTTGACGCCATTTTGTCTATTCAATTGTCTAGGTCAGGAGTTCCCAACCAGGGGGCGCATCTCCCTAGGGGGGCGGAAAGCGTTAGAATTTTGGAAAGAAAAAGAAACAACATTAACAAATAACATTACAATGTAATGTTTAATTTACACGCATAAAATTAGAAATCAAATATCATATTCACTTATTCTGTCAACTGCTGTTTCAAAACCTGGCGTCGTCAATCGCAGTTTATACAAGTTTCGACAAGTCACAACATGAACTCTACGCGCACCCCCGCCGCGCTCTGCTTAACATTCATCACATAGAAAACAATTGTGTACCTACCAGACGTGGACGAACATCTGTGACATTCATTCCCACAAACATGCGAAAAATTTTACGTTTTCGATGTACATGTTTTGTCTCACTGTTAAAAGGTAAGTTTGTGTATTTACAAACTCCAGTTAACACTTTTATTTAATTTACTAAATTGTCTATTGAGTGGAGACGCGTTCATAGATCGGCCATTGGGACTTTTTGACCACATCACAATTAAACCAACGTGGCGAAATAATTTTGAAACGATGAACTTTAAGTAGCTAATATTGATTCCAAATGTATTTAAAATTACTATTATAATGTCAACCTGCCTACAAAAATATAAATCTCCCGGTTGCCAATATAGTGTTGAATAACATTACGTTATCAAGATAAAATAATGGGCATATAATTAGTAATCACATGTAGGTATTTTGCTTATTTATTACTTATTTGTTTTATTGTTATAGATGCAAAATGGCAGCGAAAAAAATAAAGTTTTCCGAAGATGACGTTAAGTTTGTATTTACCTTCATAGAAAAAGACCAGTTACAATTGCCTCAGTGTGTGATATGTATGAAAGTTTTAAGTAATGCTAGCATGAGGCCCAATCGTCTTGAAAGGCATTTGAAGCAACAACATCCTACTCTGGTTTTGAAGACGAAAGAGTTTTTTTCTTCTAAAGCAGACTCACTCAAGCGGATGAGACTGGATAAATCGGGAAGTTATGACACACGTGTATCGCAGCATCTCAAAGCTTCATTTGAAATAGCTCTTATGATAGCAAAGCAAAAGAAACCTCATACTAGCGGCGAAGAATTAATAAAACCATGTGTCCTAAAAGCCACGCAGATAATTTTAGGAGAAGACGCAGCGCAAAAAATGAAGTCTATTTCTCTTTCGAATAACACAGTCAAGCGTAGAATCGATGACATTGCAGCGGACATAAAGTCACAAATAATTAACAAAGTAAAATTATAGCCATTTTTTTCCCATTAGTTGCGATGAATTCACCGACATCGTTGATTGTGCACAGTTAATAGTTTATGTTCGTTACATCGGCGGAGATATCATTCAAGAAGAGATTTTGTACTCCCAATCTTTGACAGCAGGTACTACATCTGAAGATATATTTAATTCAATATCAAATTTTGTTGAAAAAAATTATTTTGATTGGAAAAAACTGATGGGGCACATGCAATGATAAGTGTACGATCAGGCTTAGCTAAGAAGCTTAAGGAAAAAATCCCGCAATGGTTAGTACACATTGTGCTATTCATCGGTAAGATTTGGCTTCCAAAACATTGCCACAGAAATTACGCCAGACTTTGGACTCGGCTATAAGTATTGTAACCTACATCAAGAGCAGCGCTTTGAACAGTCGTTTATTTACTTTGCTTTGCGAGGATCTCGATTCTGATCATAAAGTTCTTCTGTTCCATAAGAAGTACACTGGCTATCCAAAGGCCACATGTTGGCTCGTCTTTATGAATTGAAAGAAGAGGTAATTCTTTTTCTTCAGTTCAAAGAAAAATACGGTTTCTTGACAATGTTCAAAGATGACACATTTCAATGGAGGTTGGCTTACTTAACTGACATTTGACTCCTTGAATGAGCTAAACTTGAAACTTCAGGGCAGAAACCACACTATAATAAGCAATTATGATTACTTTCAGGCACTCATATCAAAGCTTCAACTTTGGAATCGAAAAGTGTCAACAAAAAAAAAGGTTGGGAAAGGAACTCTGATCAGATCCCACAGGTAGGATTTTTGGTACATACGAGGGTGGATAAAATATAAACCGGAATTCTTTTTTAATATTTACTCATTTATAAAACAACTCAACAATGCTGTTGATTATTTTTCGTTGAGCATTTTAGCTAAGCCCGATCGTACACCTATCATTGCAGGTGCGCCATCTGTGCAAAGTCCAATGAGTTTTTCCAAACCAAATCATTTTTTTCAACAAAATTTGATATTGAATTAAATATATCTTTAGAAGTAGTACCTGCTGTCAAAGATTGGGAGTACCAAATCTCTTCTTGGATGATATCTTCGCCGACGTAACGAACATAAACTGTTAACTATGCACAGTTAACGATGTCGGTGGATTCTACGCTTGACTGTGTTATTTAAACGAGAAAGAGACTTCATTTTTTCCTCTGCATCTTCTACTAAATTTACCTGCGTGGCTTTTAGGACACATTTATTAATTCTTCACCGATAGTATGAGGTTTCTTTTGCCTTGCTATCAGAAAAGCTATTTCAAATGAAGCTTTGAGATGTTGCGATACACCTGTGTGATAACTTCCCGATTTATCCAGTGTCATCCGCTTGAGTGATTCTGCTTTAGAAGAAAAAAACTCTTTCGTCTTTAAAACCAGAGTAGGATGTTGCCTTTCAAGGCGATTTGCGCTCATGTTATCATTACCTGAAACTTTCATACATATCATCATACACTGAGGCAATTGTAACTCGTCCTTTTCCATGAAGGTAAATCAAAACATAATGTAATATTCGGAAAACTTTTTTTTTCCTTGCCATTTTGCAACTATAACAATAAGACAAATAAAAAATAAATAAGCAAAATACCTACATGTAGTTACTAATTATACTAAGTGACATATAAATCCGAACACCCAGTTTAAATGGTTTTATTTTAATAAAACTTTGTATAAGTACTTAATGAAGCATTATAAAGCTTTAAAGCCCTTTGACCTTTAATAATGTGTGGATGCACCCTGATGTGCTACGCATTCTCCAACGCGCCTAGGCATGCTTCTGATCAGGTGGTCAATGTCCTCCTGTGGTATCTCATTCCAGGCAACCACCAACTCCTCTCGAAGTGCTTCTAGAGTCTGAGGAGGACGTTGCAAATTGAGCAATATCCTACCCATCATATCCCACACGTGCTCAATTGGGGATAAGTCGGGAGATCTTGGTGGCCATGGTAACAATGTGACATCATTATGTTAAAAGAAGTCTATTGTGACTCTTGCAACATGGGGTCGGGCATTATCTTGTTGGAAAGTTGGATCTGCCAGGGTGTCAAGGTAGGGTAAAAGATGGGGTTCTAGAACTTCGTGGATATAACGCTGCGCGTTCATGTTACCTCTGATGAAGATTAAAGGTGACCTGGAACCATAAGCTATAGCACCCCAAACCATAACTCCAACAGTGTGATGAACATGTCTTTCAACAAAAAACTGTGGATTCCTCCTTTCACCACGTCGCCTTCTAACCGTGGCACGACCATCGTGCATGCCTAAACAAAATCGAGACTCGTCACTAAAGACAATACTGTTCCATTCCTGATCCCAGAGTGACCGTTGTCTGCATCACTCAAGGCGATTACGTCGGTGTTCTCGAGTTAAAGGGAGGACCCAGTGTGGCCGGTATGAAAACAAGCCAAAACTTCTCATTCGTCGGTAAACACTTCGCATGCCAATAGATCTTCTGCAAACCATTCATTTGCAATGGACCTGGTAGTGGAGAAACGGTCCCTTAAGGCCAATAATCTTAGGCGGCGATCTTCACGGTCTGTTGTTCTACGGCGGCGTCCAGTGCCCCTTGCTCTTTGCGTACGGCCTTCTCGAAGCCATGCATGACAACACCTAACCACAGTGTCTACACTTCTTTGCACTCTAACTGCAATTGCCCGAAAAGAAAGTCCAGCTTCCCGAAGTCCCACTATACGGCCCCTATCAAACTCAAGTTGACGAAATCGTACAGGTCTCCGTACTCTAGGCATCGTAACCGATCGTAAAGGATGTCAAGAACCAAAATCCGCCAACGTTGATTCTTTACTGCGGCTGAAATATTCATTTTTAGAGCGTTAGTGAATTAAAAAAAGCAGTATAAAAACTGGAATGTCCAACTGATAAGGCTGAAAATTTTTTCACTTGTTATTTACAGTAAGATACTAATACTAAATACATTCACCAACTTTTATTAAAATAAAACCATTTAAACTGGGTGTTCGGATTTATATGTCACTTAGTATATATGTCCATTATTTTATCTTAATAACGTAATGTATTCAACAGTATATTGACCACTGGGAGATTTTTATTTTTGTAGGCAGGTTGACGTTATAATAGTAATTTTAAATACATTCGGAATCAATATTAGGTATTTAAGGTTCGTCGTTTCAAAATTATTTTGTCACATTGGTTTGATTGTGATGTGGTAAAAAAGTCCCAATGGCCGATCTATGAACGCGTCTCCACTCAATCAACAATTTAGTAAATTAAATAAAAATGGTAACAAGTTTGTAAATACACAAACTTGCGTTTTACTAGTGACACAAAAACATGTACATCGAAACGTCAAATTTTTCGCAAGTTTATGGGAATGAATGTCACAGATGCTCATCGGCGTCTGGTAGGTACACAATTGTTTTTTAAGTGATGAATGCGAATTTGCATGGGGGTACGCTACCCCCAGCTACCGCAAGCGACTTGCTGCTCTAGAGATGAAGCTACTCCGGATCGCCACCAGTGCACCATCCTACGTAAGAAACTCAACCTTGCGTAGAGACCTGCATTGGGACACCATCCACGAGTACATGAGGAAAAAAGCGGAGAAGACCATCGAGAAAGCTCAGGACCACCCGAACGAGCAGCTACGATTCCTCATGGACTACCATCCGGACGAGAGGCCTCGCAACCGCAGAACCAGGTACCCCAGACCAAGGTCCCAGTTGGCACCCGCTAACTGGAACCTTGACTAGGAGACTAGGAGAACTCGCAGTTGCTCCACCCCCCCCCCCCCCACGGTGTGGATGCAGAGGGCCAGGAACCACCGGGACCAGGACCAACCAGGACCAGGACCCGCCACGACCAGGACCCACCAGGACCAGGTCCCTTCAGGACCAGGACCAGGAACAACATATTGGTAAGAGGACTTGAAACTCTTGATTTTTCGAAAACAAGAGTTTCAAGAGAACCAGCAGACCCTCTATCGATGATCGCTTAACGACATCGATAGAATGTGCGAGGTAAAGGGAACCAATCCGGCGTTCCCAGAGACTGAAACACATGAGGAGACGTTGTAGCAGACCGCAGGTCACGCACAACACATGGCCTACCGAGACGCTGATGAGTCAGGCCACGCGGAGGTTTAGGGTTTAGTGGGTATTAGGTGATCTCCTCAAGACCCTGGAGTGCCACACACGTCGTAGCTCGGGCTATGATATGGTGCGTAAATGCATTCCCCCCTCACAAAAAAAAAAAAATAAAATGCGAATTTCATGTTGTGACTTGTCGAAACTTGCATAAACTGCGATTGACGACGCCGGGTTTTGAAACAGCGGTTGACAGAATAAGTGAATATGATATTTAATTTTTAATTTCATGCGTGTATATTAAACATTACATTGTAATGTTGTTTGTTTATTTTTTTTTTGTTTTTTCTGTCTAAAGTGCAAACGCTTTCTGCCCCCCATGACATCTCTCTATGCCCTCCTTAGGAGGCACGCCCTCCTGGTTGGGAGCTCCTGCTCTATACCTGCTCTATAGTGATTCCTTCTTTAATTACCTTCAAGCGTCTGTACTTCTCTCAAAGAAAAAATAATCACGAACAGGGTGGTAAATATTTTTAAGAATTTTGTTCGATGGCAACCGATCGAGGATTAGGTGTTCTTCCAAAGTATGAATATACCTTTTTTCAAGCGAAATCGGATTTGCCGTAATTCCAATACGAAATGATAAGGTGCAGTGAACTGAACTCTTAGCAATTAGTTTGCTCAAAGAATATTCCGTTTACGGTTTTTGTCGTTTCAGAAGGAGATTTTTATGATTCCAGGGCAAATCATTAGTAAGATTTATCAGTGATTTGTGGCGCTTTGATGTTACCAAAGACACTCTTTGCAGTGGCGGCCGAATAAATTAAGGTGAATTCAAAGAAAGCAAGCAGTTGAAAAATATTAAACCAGACGTACTGATTTAGTACTTTTCTCGCACTCCTTTTACTTCCCACG